CCCCAAAACCCCAAAACCCCAAAACCCCGATTTCGAAGAAAAATATAGTAATATTATGAAAATGATAGGTTCGCCATGAATAATCTCTGCAACAGCTCCTTATAAACAACTTAAGAAGAATAGTTTAATATGCCTCCAGGTACCAAAGAGCCAGAGGATAAAGTCTGTTAGAAAAATGGCCAAGGTGCAAAAATAAGACCCACATGAACTCGATAGAGACAAAGCTTCTTGGAATAGTATCGAAAAGTAAATAAAGAAGGAAAATTAGACAAGGGTGATACCCTTCTGTTTAATACATACTATAACACTCTTGTGGGAAGTAGAGAAATCGATGTCAATAAATTGTTTGGTAAAAATCTTCTCATGAGAAGAACAGCCTCTACTTCAGCTGCTAGATCAAGGCTCAGAGATAAGAAAGTTCGGTGGGCTGATGAAAATAAACACAAAGCTAAAAGAAATAGCTTAACTGAATCAGCCGGACTTGAGAAGTTGTCCAAACTGGTCTATGGAGATCAATCGATGCCTATAGTAAGTTCAAATGTCTAGCTCTAGCCCACATTTTCGAAATTAACAACACCGCAGAAAGACATCCGCATAGATTTATCAATTAAATAAACTACCTCAAAGAGTTATCAAAATTCAGAAAGTGATCCCTCCTTTGTTCAAAACTGAAGCTGAGAATAAACTGAAGCCAAGTACAAATAAATCTCAAAATTTTCAGCCAAATATAACTAGAATTGAATTGAATACTGATTCTCTAAAGTTAGGGCATAAACCAAAAATTGTGCACAAAAGGTACCTTCTGGTTGATCATTATAGACCAACTACTCAAGTCAAGGACAAGTTGAGGAAGAATTCTGATAATAATTTAATCTCAATAGTCAAGAAATTCTATCCAGACATGAAAGAAAACGAAGCTGGTGGGATGATCCGTAGGCTCAACCAAATGGAAATCAACAAACGCTCCAGAAAAGAGTCTATTGAGCCTCGGGAAATTAGGACTAGTGAGTCTCCAAGACTCTCATATTTGGTAAATTATCCCCTTATCAATCTAGAGTCATAGAAGTAGTTCCCAAGGGCATCTCAGTGCTAAGAAAATAGGGATTAAATTAAACTATAAGATGTAAGCCTCTTTGTTTCATGATCTAAACATCATAGATCTAGAGTTGGGGAGCCAAATCTCAAAGGAAATTTCATGACTTCCTATAAACCATACAGACACCCCTTGATCAAAGTGCAGAAGCCAAGCAAGGAAGAAATAGAAAGATCTAAATTACGCCAAATTGAGAATACTCCTAGCCAGTATGAGGACAGAGCTGTGCTCTACAGAAGTGGAAAGGTGAGTATATTCCTCAAATACTCTAGAATCCTCATAACCGTAATGATTTTCATGAGTTTATTTCCAAGAAGAAGCTGTTCTTGAAGAGAACTAACAACCTATCTGTGCAACAACAGGAGAAGCGCAGGAACATTATAATGCAAAAGAGCATGGTATCGACCACCAGAGGTAGGAAGGTACTACACATCGAGGATATTGACTTAATATAACTGAATTTTTCTAATTATTTGACTTATTTTTCAACTTCGCCTCAGCTAAAAGGGGTTTTGGGGTTTTGGGGTTTTGGGGTTTTGGGGTTTTGGGGTTTTGGGG